TGGCAGCGGGGCACCTGGAGGGGGAGGCTGCCATCCGCGCGTCCGCGGCTCCGTCACTCCAGTTTGAAGAGGCCCAGGCCGACCGTTGCAGGGAGAGGCCGTGCCGAACGTCGAACTCGCTGTACTCCGTGTCGTCCACCGAGAAGGCGTGGCCGAACTGGTAGAGCTTGAGGGCGCGGGAGTGTGACGACAGGGGGCTGAATCCTCGGGCCCTCCTCTCATAAGGGTGAAAGTCTGCGTGGATTTTTTTGACTGGTCTCCAATTATCGCGCGTCGAAGAAAGCCGATTCGCGCGCTGATTATGTTGAGCTTCTAGACGCGATAATCGCATCGTTTTGCGCGCGGGCGCATACCGCGTGCCAAGAGAGGGCAAAATGTCATTCGCGCGCGAGCGGGCGTCTTTGGGCGCGAAAGGCACGCGTCTATTACAAAACGCGTTAAAGCTATGGTGCGCAATGGCCCCCCCTTCTTCTTCCTTTTCCCCTTCCACCCCCCTGCCCCCGCTGCCCCCGTCAACCAGTGCGCTGGTCGTTTTTTGTTTCTTTACGAATTCCTTTCGGGGATCCTTGTCGGACCCCCCCGGGCCGCCAGGGTGCCCTCGCGCGGCGCCGAAAGGGCTCGGAAAGTGCGCGACAGGGCCCTGGGGGAGTCTCACGAGGCCCCCAACATGGTTCCGAGAGACTTCCAAGAGGGACCCCGAAAGGGGCACAAAGGGTGCCCAGGCTTGCGTTTCTTTTCGGGCCCCCCTTTGCGGCTCCTCCAAGGAGCCTTCCAGGGTGCCAGGGTAACCTTGGGAGGCGACGAAGGGTTCGGAGAGTTCGCGACAGGTCCCCAAGAGCGTCTCCAGAGGCCCCAAAGAGGGTCCCGAGAGGCTTCCAAGGGGGACCCAACAAGAAGGCACGCAGTATATGCAGGCTTGTGTTTCTTCTCAGGGCATTCTTTAGATTCCCCCTAGGGCCCCCCCCCGCCGCCAGGGCGCCTTCGGAAGGCGCCGAGGGGCTGGGGCAGCGCGGCAGGCCCAAGCGAGTTTCAAGAGGCCCCCGAGAGCCACCGTGGGATGCCAGCCCTTCTCGCTTGATCGTCGCGGAGCCAAGAGCGACGGGGAAAACAACAACTTCGTTTGGCTTTCAATTTCCTTGTCACTATTACGCCTCACTCCCTGTCCCTCCCCTTCCTCCTCCGTCGCCAGCCTTCTCTATCAATCGTCCTCCGTCGTTCTCCTCCCCCCTCCTCCTATATCATACTTCGTCCTCCTTCCACTTCGTCAAACCCGAAGCTACACTTCCTCCCCCCACCTCCCCCTCCTTCGATCCTATCGCCCCAACGTCCCTCGTCTTTCTTCCTCCATCCTCTCTCCATTATTTGAAGACGCCCCCCCTCTTGAGGGGAACTGCCGCGCGGCTTCTGCCTGAACGCCCCACGGTTCCTGGAGGGGTCGGCGCGCCCAGAGTTGCGGCAACTTTCCCCGACGGTTCCTCGGACCTCCCCCTGCCCCGAAAATTGTCGACCCCCTGGTGGGCCTCCAACAGCCGGCCAAAGACCGCCCGACAAATTTGAACACGGGTGGCGTGAAAAACTGCGTGGGAAATTGCCGTGGATTTTTTTTGGTCTTGAAATCGACTGTAAAAAAATCGTCGGCGGTTTTCCGCCGGGTTCCTCACGGCTGCGGTGGCGAGAAGCATGTCGCGTTCTTGGTGGCCATCTGAAGCCGCCCCGGGATACTGAATGCAATGTTGGAGACCATTTTGGGGTCATCTCGAGCTCTCTTGGAGCCATCGTGGAGCCCCCTTGGGGCTCTCTTGGGATAATTTTGGAGGCCCTGGGCGGCCTCTTGGGGCCATATTGGAGGATATCGATCAATATAGGGGGGCGGTTCTAACAGCGTCGCCCCTCTAGAGCTCCCACAGCCGTCTCTTGGGGCTCTCTTGGGGCGCTCTTGGGGCGCTCTTGGGCGCTTTTGGGACCGTCTTGGAGCCCTCGTTGGCCCTTCTTGGAGCTCTCTTGGGCCATCTTGGAGCCATCTGGAGGCCTCGGAAGTCCATCGGGCGCGGAAAGGCGGGAATGCAGCAATGGTTGTTTTCGTCTTAGGTATTGGAATGATTTTGGCGTGTCGGGGGCTTCCCTGGGGGGGCCGTGGCCACTTGAGGCCATCTTGTGAGGTCTTGGGGCCTATTGGAGCATCTTCGAAGCCATCTTGAGCTATCTTCAATAATATTAGGCCATATAGGGGGCCATCTTGAAGTCTCTGAGGCCATCTTGAGGCTATATCAGGTCATCTTGGACGCTCGAACGCCTCCCCGCACCCCTGGTCCAGACCCATGGGGGAAGGGGGGGGGGAGATCATTCGGGGACCGGCCCTGCGGGTGCAGAGGCCTTCGGTGCGCAGGAGAGGGCAGCGTGAATGCCGCCGTGCACGCAAGAGAGAAAACCACCGTCGAATTAAACTGTCTTTAAACGGTTGTCCTGAGAACGCGGCCGAAATTCCGCCGCGACATCACCAAAGGTGTCGCACTCGGGCGCCCCAGAAGAAGTATAGAGGAAGGGGTGGAGGAGGAAGAAGGCGACTCGAGGTTGTCAAATCGCGGCTCAAACCACAACCCCGAAGTCGAGCAATAACCTCGGGTTCGATCAAGACCAAATAACTTACGGGGCGCCCATGTAGACATTAATACGATGCGAAATGTCAATGGAAACATATCGGCGCCACGCGGCGAGTGAGGTGAAAGGAGGAGGACGACGAATGGAGGGACAGAAAAAGACGGAACAGTTTACAATAACGCGCGTTGGCAAAGAATGCGCGCTCCGCCGAGAATGCGGGCTCGCGCTTGTACGCCCGACAACATGCGCGTGGTGTCTGGCATGGTTGCGAATCGTTGAACATAAAATCCACTGTGGATTTCGCCGGCAAAATCTTCGCCGACCTTCTTAGGGCTCGGAGATAGAGGTGAATCCCCTTCCCCCGCGCCCCAATATGCCTCCACGCCCACGTGGCTACCCGCGGAGCTGAGCATCACCTGCAGCACCAGCAGGCGCTGGAGCAGCTTGGCCACCCACCTTGGGCTCGGCGCGCAGGCGGGCATTCTCCGAGGCTGAGGCTCCGAGCTTCGCCGCGTTGCGGCGAATCTGCTCCGCCATGGCATCACCTGCTGCGGGTGCTGCTGCTGTCGCTGCAGCCGCAGGCTCCCGCTGCTCCCCAGCGGGCACCTCGCTAGCAGGCGGGGTCGCGGGGGCCGTCGGCGACTCAGCCGCTGCCGCAGGTGTGGCCTGGCCATCCACGGTGTCGTCACCGATCTTCCGCTTCTTCTTGATCGCCTCCTCAGCTTCTTGCTTGATGCGCCGCAGCTGCTCCTGGCACTGCTGCTCGAAGTGCTGCTGGGCCACCCGCATGATGTTGTGGCCCTCTGCACAGAGGCGCTTGAGGTTCGCCTGAGCCTCCTCCTCAAGCTCGCCGAAATTCTCGAGGGACTCGGCGTCAAAGTTGAAGGTGAGCTGCTTGTCCACCTCCAGAAAGGGCGCTCCCACTCCCGACGCCTGAGCGCGACGGCGGAGGAGCTGGGCCTCCTCGGCCTGCGCCTCGGCGACGTGGAGCGCACAGGTGTCGCGCCAGCTGCGACAATCAGCCAACTGCGCCTCCGCCGCTGCCATGGCGTCTGCAGCGTCGTCGAGCTGGCGCTGGAAATTGACTCGGCGGTCCGTAGCTGACTGCAGCTGCTGCTCCAACGTCTTCTCCGTAGCCGCTGGTGATGGCGGCCTGTATCCCCTCGCAGCCTCCACCGCCTCACGAAGACGCGCGGTGATGTCGGGATCAGGGATGGCCAGCAGCAGGTCGAGCTCTGACCGCGACGAGGCCGACCAGGGCGCATCAGGGAAGCCGCTTCGGCCACCAGGTCCCAAGGCCGCGCCCCCCTTGCCACCGCCAGACTCCGCGCCGATGCCGACCTTGCCGCCCTTCTTGCCACCCTTCGGCTGGGCCTTGCCTGCGCCGTTCCCTTTCGGCTCGCCGCCCTCTGCCCAGACCCCATGGCGAGGCGACGGCTTGGCAGGCGGGAGCTCAAGGCATTGGCCACAGAGCCAACAGGACGGGTTCTTGCGGAAGTTCCACCTGTATCGGTACGCCGTGCAGATGACAAAGCCAGGAAGTGCCTTCTTCGGCGCCATCGGGAAGTCGAGGGCGGCCGAAACTGCACAGTCGCGGGGCGGCGACAGGCAGCAGCCAACGGGGGCGGACCCGTCGGCTGGAACAAAACTGTCGGGCAGAGTCGCCCTGGCACTGGCCGCGGACTAGCGGTATCCACGTGTTCCCCTGTGGAACAAACCATGTTGAGCCAAAATGGCTACGGAGAAGGAGGAGGAGGAGGAGGAGGAGGAGGGTGAGGAGGAGGAGAAAGAGGGAGGAGGAGGAGGAGGAGGAGGAGGAGGAGGAGGAGGAGGAGGAAGAGGAGGAGCATGTCTGCTCTCCGAGATTGTAGCTGCTTGGTACCATCCTGCTGCCGCGCGGGAGCCTTCCGCGTAGGAGGCCGCGCGGGAGCGCCCCCTTGCTCCACGCGGCGCGCCACGCCTGCGGCACGCGCAGGCCGCGGCGCGTAGGGTCGTCATGGCATCGTGCCTTAGGGCCTATGGCCTACCCTGAGGCCCGACGCTGCAGAGAAGCTGCAACAGCGCAGAAAATCGCGACCAGAGCCCCAGGATCCCATCTCTCTGCGTCGCGTGTCGCGCCGGATCGACTTGCGCGGGTCCCAGGGCCCGAGATTGGGTGAGAACGCCCGTGGTGAACAAAAATGCGACGCCAGGATCTCGGGGGGGCCATCGGCCAGCGGGGCCAAGGCCGCGCCAGCGGGGACAGAGATCGGTGAAATGATGCTCTTCCTCCTCCTCCTCCTCCTGCTCCTCCTCCTCCTCCTCCTGCTCCTCCTCCTCATCCTCCTCCTCCTCCTCCTTCCTTCCTCCTCCTTCCTCCTCCCAGGGTCTCAGGGTAAGGCACGACCATGCTGCCAAGTGAGCATGCCGCCGCAGGACTTCCTCGTCTGCCAGGCCGACGGCCTGGGCGCCCGGAGCTCCGGCGGCGAGGTGCGCGTGCGCTCGTCATGCGCGGAGGAGGCGGGGGAGGCGGAGGAGGAGGCGGAGGAAGAGGAGAATGGAGGAGGAGGAGGAGGAGGAGGAGGAGGAGGAGGAAAAGGAGGAGGAGGAGGAGGAGGAGGAGGAAAAAGAGGAGGAGGAGGAGGAGGAGGAGGAGGAGGAAAAGGAGGAGGAGGAGGAAAAAGAGAGGAAGGAGGAGGAGGGGGAGGAGGAGGAAGAGGAGGAGGAGGAGGAGGAGGAGGAGGAGGTGCGCGCCGAGGTGCTGGTCATGCGCGTGCGCACGGCCAGCCAGGGCATCCCGAGCGGCCACGTCGGCACGGATTTCGGGGACGCCGCGGCGGAGGCCAACGCGGAGGCGGTGCTGCAGTCCAAGGTCCTCCTCCGCCTCCTCCTCCTCCTCCGCCTCCCCCTCCTCCTCCTCCTGCTCCTCCCCTCCTCCTCTGCTCCTCCCCCTTCTCCTCCTCCCTCCTCCCCTCCTCCTCCTCCTCCTCCTCCTCCTCCTCCTCCTCCTCCTCCTCCTCCTCCTCCTCCAAGGCCGTCGTCTGGCTCGGCTGCCTGCGCATGTGTGCGTCGGCCCCGTCGGACGTCGGCACGCGGGCGCTGGTGACAGCGCTGGTCACTCGAAGAAGAAAGTAAGGAAAATAAGCAGCATAAGCATAAATCAGAGGAGGAACAGGCACCCATACCTCTAGACTCTACCCTTCGCCCGTGTTCCGCTTTGTGGGCCTCCTGGGAGGCCCTCGCCGCCACCGCTGGATTCGCCTCGAAATCCTTGCCAGAGCGCACCCCGGGAGAGGTCCGGGGGGTAGAGGTGTCGGTACCTTTGGGTTTCCCCATACACAAGCAGCATGAGCATAAACTTTCGGAGCTCCGCGCGGATGTCTTGCATCGGCGCTGGCCCCCTGGCGGCGCCTCCGGCGCCGCCCCTGGCGCGCTCCGCGCGCCAGGGAGGGGTGCCCAGCGCCGATCCCAGAAATCTGCACGGAGCTCCGCTGGGAGCCATCTTGTGGGGAAAGGCTAGGCCACCCGCGGGGGCACGAAGATAATCGCGCTTCGCGCGTCGCGGTCCGGGCCAGATCGGCTGCCTTTCTCCAGAGAGGGCGGCTCGACGGTGAGATGGCGCGAAGAGAACCGCGCGCCGCGCATCGCTGGGCGCGATGCGTGAAGTTAGGTGACCTAGGAAAGGCTCGACATGTCAATTCGTATTGCCATGCCTCGAGTAGGAGATCGACTACAAAATTGATTTACCCCAGCATGCTAGAGTGCCCCGTGGATCTTTGAACCAAGCCTACAAACTTGCCGTGCCCTCGACGAGTAAATCAATTCCTGGGCAACCTGCAGTCGATCCCGTACTCGAATGTCGCTCGGACCACTCCGGGAAGCGTTCTGACCAGGGCTTCTAGGCGAAGCCAACGGTGGCGGCGAAGGCCTCCCAGGAGGCCCCACAACAGGGGAGAGCGAGGCAAGGGTAGCAGTGTGGGTTTCTTTTCCCTCCTCCGAGTCTCACTTGGTTTTTGGGCACGGGCTCGGGCCTCTGGCGGCCGTTCGGGACGATCCGCGCACCCCCAGAACGCTCTCGGCGAGGCGCAGCTAATGGAAACCGCCCCAGGTGCCGAAAGCTTACGAAAACAGCTGACAGCTTACGAAGACTTCCGAACGCCGCACCCCCCCCCCCCGACATGCGACGTCCTGATTTTGTTCAGTGCGGCGCCCCCAGAAGTCCCGACCCTTTCCCCGGGACCGGTGTTTCACCCTGCGTCGGTTTTTGATGGCCCCGGGGCCCGGCGAGGGCCTCCAGAGCCCGAAGCCGGCGAACAAAAACCTCCGTCCCGATATTTTCACGGCCCGAGCACGTCTGGGCCCAGGTCACGGCCACCAGCTTCGGGGCCACGTCGGTGCTCGCCGACGGCGCGGCCGAGGAGGCCTGCGAGAGGCACGGCGCCCGGGGCCGCGTGACGCACTGCGTGCTGGGGGAGCAGGCCGCGGCCGCGCTGCTGTCGGGGAGGCGCGCCCCCGCGGCCCGCGCCTCGGCCGCGCCGAGGGCGGCGGCGGCGAGCGAGCGGCGGCGCCATTGGCGGCGGCGGGGCTGTCGGCGGCGAGGCGGGGGGGAAGTTCTGGCTTCGAGGTCCAAGGTTTTCTCGGACGTTTTCGTCGGTTCTCGACGGTGCTCCAGCCTCGGGTTAAGTCGGGCCCGTCCCTCTACAGGAGGAATATTCAAAAATAGTAAAAAAGATAGTCCAGGGATTATGTTTTGAGAATTATTTGACCATTATGGGGGGTATTTCTGGAGTTGTTTTGGGTGATTTTTTTTTTTTTTTTTTTTACAAAAAATGTTCGTCGAACATCCCCCTGTATGGGGGACACGCCCGACTTAAGCCTCGGGGTGCGTTCCAGCGGCTGCGCCTCGGCGGGAGCGTCAAGGGGGGGTGCCGGGAGATCGTGCCGAGCGGCCGCCGCAGGGCCGAGTTAACAGAAGGGGAAACAAGCACACACACAGACACAATTCATCGCTGACTCCCCTAGAAAAGAAAGGAAAACACGGGAAGTGGGGGGGAAGACCAAAACCCAGAACGTATGGAAAAACAGGGGGGATCCTGTTATTTGTGTCTATTTGTTTGCGTGTCCCAGGGCCCCTTCAGAGTGATGGCCCAGAAACCGCACTCGGCGGCCATGCAGAGGAGCAAGAGGTCATGGGAACGGTGCCTTCCAGGAGGTCCGGGGTCTCCGGGAGGTTCCGGCTGCCACGGGCTGCAGACGGCCGCCAGGGGCCGACGGTCCTTGCCCTCCTCGCACGCAGGGGAGCAAGAGGTCGTGAGGATGGTACGAGGAGGAGGAGGAGGAGGAGCAGGAGGAGGGGGAGGAGGGGGAGGAGGAGGAAGAGGAGGAGGAGGAGGAGGAGGAGGAGGAGGGGCCGACGGCCCCTGACCTCGCACGCGGGGGAGCAAGAGGTCGTGAGGATGGTACAGGTTCCAGGGTGTCCAGGGTCTCCGGGATGTCCCGGTGGTGCCTCGTGGGCTGCGGAAGCGAGGGCCGTTGGATGCCCTGCAGATCCTGAATCGCATCCTAAGCCAACCCTGTCTTGACGCAATTCTTGTCCTACAGGCAACCCCTCAGGATGAGCGACTTTCCAAGGTTACCCCTGCAGCCTTCCCCTCCGGCCCATCCTTGGCCGCCTTTGCTGGCCGCGCCCCGCCCGCAAAGTGTCGACATGTCCTTCCAGGTCCCTTGCATGATGGGCCTGTTTTCCACCACCACCACCACCACCACCACCATAAGTTGGAGGGGGGAAGGAGGTGGAGGAGGAGGAGGAGGAGGAGGAGGTGGACCCCCTTCCCCCTCCAACTAATGGAGGTGATGGTGGAAAACAGGCCCATCATTGCATCCTCATCGTGCGTCCTCATTTTACGGGTTGACTGCAAGTATCGCCCTATAGTCTTCGTGGGAAAAAGTTGCACCGCGGGAGGTTTTCGGGGGCGCCGTCTTCTGCCTCCGGGGTCCTCGCCCGGACCCCGGGAGCGCCGACATAAAAACGACTCGGGATGGGCAGCTGGTCCCCTGGAAGGGGGGCGCGGCCCTCTTTTGGGCCCACGCTGCGAAGAGAGCATCGGAGGTTGATAGACCTCCTACCCGGACACGTCGATTAGCGAATCGGCCGTTTTCGGTTCGCGAGAGGGCGTCGCGGCCGTCGTTTTTGCGGGTCCAGGTCCGTCGGCTTCGGTCTTGGGCCGTTTTCGCGAAAGGGTGGTTTGCTAGAGGGAGGCTTGTCCACCGCCGACGGAAGGGGGGGCGCGGGCCTCTCGGGGCCCACGCTGCGAGGAGAGCACGGCGCCAGAGTTCCTGCCGGGAGCAACCCGTTGGGCGTTGCGTACCCATCGGTCGTTGAAAGTAGGTATTTCTGGATTCCCATATTCCAATCTACTTTTAGCGCCTTCCTACTTCAAGAGTCGAGTGGTTTTTCCTCTTCCCTCCTCTTCAGGAGGCGGGGCGGAAACCCCATTTTTTTTCAACGCCTTCCTACTTCATGTTTCTACCTACTTCTTCCGACCGATGGGTAATTTGGGGGGTCACCATGGGGAGGGCGGCGAAGGTGGCCCGAAAAGGTACCCAAGCGGTACCTGAACGAGCCACCATGGGGCTCCGGAGGGGCCCGAGAGGGGCACGAAAGGGGACGCTTTCTGACCCCCCCCATTTCTGAACCCCTTGTATTAAGCCACGCCCAGACCCGGACCCCTTCGAGTCTTGACGAAAATCGCGACCGGGCGGCTTCTCGCTGCCTCTCGGGGCCCCTGCCGGGCCTCGGGAGCGTCAAAAGCGACTCGGGATGAAAAATCGGTCCCGGGAAATGGGTCGAGATCCCTGGGGTCGACGTTGCGGAAGAACGAAAAGCATGACGTCGGGGGCCTGGGAAGAGAACCCCCCCCCCCCGGCGGCGGAACAAAACGGGCTCGTTTGCGACATTGGCGCGCAAGCTTCCAGCGTAAGGTCGCGGGGAAGCGCCCTCGTTTTCAGCGTGGCGTGCCGCGCTGGCGGCCCGTGTGTGCCACCGCGTAGGGTCGCTCTGTCATATCGCGGACGACAAGACCCCGTTCTTTTCATCGCTCACCTGGCCCCCCTCCCAGGGGGGGCGGGTCTGCGGTATACTCTTTACGCCCCTTCTCCCTGGCTCTCCACCTTCCACACCTTCGACCAGCATGAGGCCGATTCCGTGGTCTTATCGAGGGCCAGCAGACGGCATGATCATAATCTTTCGGAGCTCCGCGCGGATGTCTTGGATCGGTGCGCTGGACACCACTCCCTGGCGCGCGGGGGGCTCAGAAATCCGCGCGGAGTTGAGTTTGTTGTTGATGCAGTTTGTGTTGCCCCTCGAGAAGATCACTTAATCAGCCACCTGCTGGTTGGAAGGTGTGGACGGAGGAGAATCGGGGAACGTGCAGTCAACCCGCATAGTAAAGATGAGCGACTTTCCATGGTTACCCTTGCAGCCTTCCCCTTCGGCCCATCCGTGGCCGCTTCTGCTGGCCGCGCCCCGCCCGCAAAGTGCCGACATGGCCTTCGAGGGCCCTTGCATCCTCATCGTGCGTCCTTAATTTACGGGTTGACGGTAGTCGTTATGATGTTCCAACCTATTGTAGCCTTGACCACTTGGAAGAATGCCCAGCACCAAGAAGTGCCGAAGCTGCAGGGTTTTCACGCGTCGGGCCCTGGGAGGCGATGCTCGTTCGACACTGCTTCGATACTTCCCTGGGTGCGCGAGATTATTTCTGGGATGGGGTCCTTCAGTACGATGGGAGCAACATGCTGAGGTCCTCCTGCTCCTCCTCCTCCTCCTCCTCCTCCTCCTCCTCCTCCTCCTCCTCCTCCTCCTCCTCCCTGCCCCGGGGCCTTTTGTCCCCGTGGGAGTGAGGACAGGCGTGACCGCGGCGGCTCCGCGGTTCTTCGCCGTCCTCGGGCCCCTCATGGGGCCCTCCCTCGCCGGGCCCCGAAGGCCGTCCGGGGACGCCTCGGGAGGAATCACCGCCCCTGCAGACGGGGTCGGGACTGCCGGACTGCCGGGGTCCCCGTGGAGGGTTTCTCCGAAGGGCTCAGGCGACCCGATCTCCTCCTCCTCCCCCTCCTCCTCCTCCTCCTCCCCCCCCTCCTCCTCCCCCTCCTCCTCCTCCTCCCTCCTCCTCCTCCTCCTCCCCCCCTCCTCCTCCTCCTCCTCCTCTCTCTCTCCTCCTCCTCCTCCTCCTCCTCCTCCTCCTCCTCCTCCTCCCCCTCCTCGTCCTCCCCTCCTCGGGTCGCCTACGGCTCCAGGGGAAACCGTCCAGGTCCCCGTATTTGGGAGGGCCAAGTCCCCGTGCTTCTAGACGACAGATAGCTGGGCCCGATGCTAAATACCGCTCTCACGTTCTAGCCACAAGCGTCTATGGACACATTGGGTGCCGTGGCGTCTACAGACGCATTCGGGGTGAATTCCTCTATGGGCAACGCGACACTTGCGTTCGGCGCAGTACACGGTCGGAGAAAGGGCAGATCAGTCTACGGTATCTCTTGTTCTAGAGCAGGTCCCACATGGTACTCCAACCCGTATGAAACATACCAGGACATCGGACCTCTGGGAGGGCGTCGACGACGGTGGCGCCCCGACCCCGACCGAAATCAGCTCAACATCGCTCCCCCGGGCCCCTCCTGTGGCCCATCCCGGGTCAGCTTTTTATCCATCGATCGCCGACGGCCCCCGGGGCTCGAAACGGGCCGCCCCCCTTCCTCCCTGGGGGGCCAAACTTCGATGGAAAGTTGCCGACTCGCATGACACGGGCGTTTCTCGCCAGTGAGAGGTCGAAGAGGAGGGAGAGACTGCGGGGAGGGGATGCCTGATGGGAGGGGATTTGGGGAGAAGGGAAGAGGAGGCGAGGGGAGGATGGGGATGAAGAGAAGCGAGCGGGGGGGCGAGGGTCTGGAGGAGCGGAGGAGGGAGACCGGGTACGTAGGCCCCGTGCTGTCCGTGCCAGGAGCAATACACCCTCCCCACCCTCCTAGCCGTGTCGCCTCTCGCTCGCTCCCTCCTCCCCCCCCTCCCTCCTCCATCCTCCCGGCCGAGGCACCTATGCCATGGGCGTTCCCGTGGGCCCTATGGCGTAGGGACCTTCTCGTGCCCGTGCGCTCAGCCCGCGCGCTGCGCTTGAGCACCCGGGAGAGCTCCGTGTCCCCGTGCAGGGATGCCTTCGAGATGCCCGAGGTCCGGACCCGTTCCGTAGGCAGCGCCTGCAGGCGTGCCCGCCCGCGCCCATTTCGGCGCACCCTTCGCACGCCTCGCGGCCCCATAGGGAGCTCCGCCGAGGGGCCCAGTGGTAGCGCCCGCAGACGTGCCCGCGCCGGCTTCGGTACACCACGCCATACGCGTCGTGGCGCCATGGGGAGCAAAACAAACAACTGCAAAACCTGTAACCAGCACATGCACAACACAAAAAGGTGAACTATTCAAAATGAGCACGTTCTTTTATCTTCTTCGGCTGAATGTAAATGTTAGGTTTGCATTCTTTGAGTTGCTTATGATTATCCTTTCTCTTTGCTATGTACTCTATGTCCAATATCTGTACCAATGCAGCAAATTCCAATTGTTGATGTTCAGGAACTCCACCAAAAGCCCCCGTGGCAACGCCCGCACGGCTCGAGCTGCATCCACGTCCTGGTTCGCTGCCTGCCAGGAGGGGGTCGTGTCCTACGCCGCTCGCGCTTCGCTCGCCCCGCCTCCCTCGCATCCGCCCTGCCTCGCGGCACTCGCGGCCCTTCGTCGGGGCACTGCTCCGCGCCGAGGAGGCAGGAAGCCAAACAAGTCCCCCCGCCTTTGAAGAGTGCATGCGAAGGAGAGCACCTGTTATGTGATGCCTTCCTCAGTGTGCGCTTTTCAGTCAGATGTTTACTCTTGCTGGCTCTCCGCAACAACAGCTTGAAGCACGTCTCCGCACACGAGCCAGGAGACACCGGGCCTGCCGAAATGTCTGGGCAAGGCTCACACATGAAACATACAATCGCGGGGAGGGGAGTCCCGAAAACAGAAAGGCCCCCCCGGCTGCCGAACTCGTGGTTTGGTCTCCCCTCTCCTTCGCACCACCTGCCTCGCGGCACTCGCAGTTGCACCCGGTCGGGGTCCCCCGTCGGCATATTGCAAAGGCCTTGCGGCCGGTGCGCCGCCGACCCTGAAGGGGGGCGACGATCGCCAGTCAAATCCGAGGCCCAGATCCCGCCCTCGAGAACCTAGAAGCACCATCTTGCCCCATTGCTGTTCTGGCCGCCTCTTCATTCGGAGGCCGTGCACTCTGTGTTTTTTGTTGTTGGCCCGTTTCTGGGATTTCTTTCGCAAGTCGGCGGTGGTGTTGTGAGTGGGAGGTGGCGCAGATCGACCAAGTTTTGGGCGTCGAATCTAATGGCCCGTTTCTGGGTTTCCTTTCGCAAGTCCCGGGTCAGGTCGACCAAGTGTTGGGCGTCGAATCCAATGGCCGCCGGCTGCGCGCATGGCGCTGCCAGGGCCACGCGGCGGAGGGTCGACGTGGGCTTCCGATGGCTCCCCTGGGACAGAAGCACGATTGGCTGGGCGAGAAACAATCGGGCGCAGCGATAGGGGGGGATAGGCATATGGGGGGATGCATCGACCCCCAATCGCCCATTGGTCGCCGATGGGGGCCCGACAGCCCCAACCTGCCCAGGAAGGTGCGGACTCACTATCAGAGGCCTATCGCCGATCTATCGGCGATGTATCGCCAATTCCAGGTCGATGCATCCCCCCCTATGCCAGCCCCCCTTATCGTTGCCCCTCAAACAAGCGACAGATCCAAACAAGAATGTATTTGGATTGGAGTATTCGTGTGTTCGTGGACGAAGACTTCAAGACATACTCACTATTGGAAAACAAGGTGCCCGTGCTTATTTGATAAAGCTGGTGCACCTTTTTAATGCACATCTTCCCTGTCAATAGAGATTCGTTCTTCTTTAGAGACGTTCGTCGTAAACTAGACGCCGCCGTGGGATCTGGGGACCTCCTCGCCGCGGTAGGGTGCACGGCCACAATGGCAGTACGCTCAACCAGGGGGGGGGGCAAAGACGTAATCGGTGAGTGCACTGCGCGGAGATCATTGAAATCTCCACGCGTGTTCGCAGCCAGGAGTGAATGCGCGGTCCACGCGAGGGTACGGATCGAGACAGATTTTTCCAAATGAGTGCCAGATTGCATTGAAGGGGGGTGGGGCTTCCGATGTCATTGGCTAACGACGACGACGGCGACGAGCACGGCGACGACGACGACGGCGACGGCGACGACTGCGACGACGCTGACGCTCTGAGGTCGAACGCTTCTTCCAGGGAGTCGGGGCCCCCGACGTCGTGATCTTTTCGCAACGTCGACCCCTTCCCCGGGACCGCCAATATATATATATATATATATATATATATGTTTGACGGTCCCGGGGCCCGGTGAGGCCGCCCCTGGAGGCCGAGACCAGCGAAAATCATCCCGTCGCGATTTTGTTCACAGCGCGAGGGGGTCTGGGGAGGCGGAAGCTCAACAAGCCCCCCCTAATCGCCGAGGTCGACGCCCTCACGCTGCAGAGCGACAGGTGCTCGGCCGACTTGGCGGGCGACGCGGGTGCCGCCCGGCAGGCCCCTGGAGAGGGCGACGCTGACCCCGCCAAGCTCGACAGGACGCTGCCGCGCGTTGGGCGGTCGGGGCTCGAGGTTCGAGGGGTGGCCGTTCCAGGTTCGGGGTGTTCGGGCGTTCTCGTTGGCTCTGACATGTGTTTTCTGGCCTCGGGAGAGGAGGAGGAGGAGGAGGAGGAGGAGGAGGAGGAGGAGGAGGAGGAGGAGGAGGAGGATATTGAGGCGGAGGAGAAGGCGGAGGAGGAGGCGGAGGAGGAGGAGGAGGAGGAGGAGGAGGAGGAGGAGGAGGAGGAGGAGGAGGAAGGGAGGAGGAGGAGGAGGCAGCTGCGCCACGCCGAGGGCGGTCTGGGGCAGCTGGAGCTTCTCGAGCGGCCGCCGAAGGCCCGAGTTGTGGCCAGAAAGTCACACCTTGGTTTAAGTCGGGCCTGTCCCTCTACAGGAGGAATGTTCAAAATCAAATAGTCTGGGGACGATGTTTTGATGTTTGTGTTGCCCATTTGGGGGTATGTTTGGAGTCTTTTTTGCTTTTCGCCCACAGTCCCCCTGTAGGGGGACACGCCCGACCTAAACCTTGGTTCCAGGTGCATCGTGCTTTGGGCCATGTCGTCAGCCGGGCGGACATTTCCGCCGTGCTCTTCAGGCTCCTCTGGTGTCGATTTCCGCCCTTGCGTTGCCGCCGCTGCTTCCGCCATGCCTTCGTGGAGGTCTCCGCCCTGCCTCTCTGAGGCGGAAATGGCCGCCCCGCTTTTTCGCATCGCTTGGGGTGGATCTCCGACGCCAGTTCAAGCCAACGTTCAACCCAAGAACGGCGGATCCGAAGTCGGGGTGGGGTGCCGAGGAAAGGGGTTGTCCCGACCCGCCCCTCTGCTTCGCGAGGAAGAGACGGCCGACGGGTTTTTTGTTGGGAGCATTTTGGGGGGCTCCAGGGGGGCCCTTTGCCCGACCCCGGGGCCGTCGGACGATTACCCAGACCCCCTCCGGCAATGACAAAAATCACGACGGGAGGCTTTTCGATGTTTTCGGCCTCCAGGGGCCCTTGCCGGGCCCCAGGGCCGTCAGAAGACGATTCAGGATGCAAAACTGTTCCGGGGGAAGGGTTCCAGACCTTTGGGGTCGACGTTATGACAAAATCACGACGTCGGGGGTCTGGGTACGCGGCACGGGAGAGAAAGTCCCCCCGAGAAGGGGCACAAACCTCTGAGAGCCCATTCAAGCAGTGACGAAGCGTCCTGGCGTGCCCATAGGTCTACCAACCAATGTTCTAAGAGCCTTTTTTTTTGGTTTCCACGACATGTTCTTGGAACATTTCTGGCTGGGACTGTCTTGTTTTGACACATCGGGTTTATGTTCTACGAACGTTGTTTTTGGTCTTAGAACATTTTGGGGCTCTAAGAACATGTCGTGGTAGGCCTATAGGAATGCCGAGTCGGTCCCTGCTCAACCCACGTTGTGAAGTAAACGGCGTCGGGGTTTGGCTGGGAGGGCGGGGGGCGGAGGCGGGGAGGAAGGAGCGGGGATGCGGAGGCACGGGGGAATTGGGGAGGGGGGGGGGGGGGGGGGCAGGGACTGGGGGGAGGGGGGAGGGGGCAGGGACGGGGGGGGGAAAGGGGCGAAGGGGAGGGCGCAAGCTAGGTTGAAGTCGGGGCTGTCCCTCTACAGGAGGAATATTCAAAAATAGTAAAACAAATCGTCTGGCGTCGATTTTTTGAATATGTTTGGCCATGTTTAGGCTATTTGTTTGAGTATCTTAATCCTTCGTCCAAAATAATCGGCCTGTGGGGGGGGGACTTGCCCGACCTAAAGCTAGGTTGCGCTCGCGCCATAATTATCTGATGTCCTGCGCCTCCCACGGATGGGTGGGAGTCCCACCCATCCGTTCCCACCTGCGCCGCCTGCTTTCCGTCCGCCGACGGGGCGGGCGCGTCGGTCGCTGCGTGCTCGATTCCGCCGGGCGGAGACCCCCCCTCCCCCTTGTAGGCGAGCGCCCAAGGGGCGCGGAGTGCATTCAGGAGGCCCGTCTTGAGCATGACCCTACAGTGGGGGCCCGTGCCAGGAAATGCCCTGCTCGCCTCCAGGGTGCCCTGGGTTTCTTGGGTTCCGATGGTTTTGCCATGAAAGGCGTGACGTTCCCGCACCAGACATCAATGGACGTCCTGGGATCTCAGGGTTGAGTTTCCTGTGGAAGGTTTCTTGTGGTCGGACCCCTACTATACTTCCGTCCGTGCAGGGGCTCAACATTTTTATATGGCCCGGATCGAGCGAGTCCCTTTTTTTGACGCGGAGTTGCTTTGCGTCGGTGTGGCTGTTCTGCAGTGCGTGATTTTTCTGGGCGATGCGCCCTCCATAGATCTAAGCCGACAGCCCCAATTTAAACTTGGCCGCCCTATACGGGTGCAGATGTCACACACGTTTAACAGTCATTTTCGCGGGGCGACGGAGCTGACCACATGATGAGAACGACCCGTCCACCATCCGCGTAGTCTTTGTTTTGTCTGAAGACGGCGACTGTGCGCGGCGCGCAGGCGAGATCCACACTTTGAAGACAACTCCGCCCGCATCGGTGTACATGCTCGAAGCGTTTACGGCGAACGTGCGCGCCGCCATGGCGAGAACCGCATTTTGAAAACGGCCCGCCCTCTATCTAGGTAGCTTATTGGCGACCCACGCTTCATGATCGCGAATCGCGGCGAGCTCTCAGGCGAAAAGCCCGGCGCGCCCGAGCGACACTTCTGGTAGCGTGTCGAGGAGGAGTTACACGTCGGTCGTTGAAAGTAGGTATTTTTGGACTCCCAGATCCCAGTATATTTCTCAAGCCTTCCTACTTCAACAGCCTCCACGATTTTGCTGTGGTTTGTCATTCTCTGGGAGGGCTTGGACCCAATCCACTTTATCCGCCTTCCTACTGTACGTTTTGACCTACTTCTCCCGACCGGCGTGTACTGGTCGGGACGCACTACTCCACGCGTCCCCCCCCCGGAGGCCTGCGGCGCACAGAGGTGGCGAAGCATTGACGTGGCCAAGAACGTCGCTCCCAACAACCTTCCCCCTTTCGGCCCGCTGTCCAGCCGTTTTAGAACGCCCCCTCCCCGCCCCCGGCGCGAAGTCCCCCGACGTCGTAGGAAGTTCCGCTCTTTTGCGGGAGGTGTGGGAGCGAGAGGTGGTGGAATGCGGACGGCGAGACGAGAGGGCGGACGGGCGGGGATGGGCTGCGGAGGAGAGAGGGAGAAAAAGAGAGAGAGAGAGAGAGGAAAGGGACGGGACGGGGAGGGTGTGAGAGGGGATCGTGGTCGCAAGGAGGGAGAGGACGGGGAAGGACACAGGCGAGAGAGGAGAAGGGATGAGAAGGGGAGGGGCAGGCAGAATGGAGGAGGCGGTCGGGGGGAAGGAGAGAGCTTGATCCGAGGAGACGCCGGGGCAGCGGCGTATCTGCAGGGCCAGGCACGCAGATGAGCTACATGGTGGATAACAGCAGCCTGCAAGCTGGCACCGAGGGCATGGCGTACAGGAGGAACTCCCCCGTGCACGCACTTCTGCTGCTGCTCCTCATCTTGTTTATGCTCATGCTCATGCTCCTGCAGTGAGTCCAGCACGACATCGGCAATGGATGTGCTGGAAGCAGATTGCCCACTCGGTTCGCATGGATTTCCAGGGGATCCCCCCATTTCTGAAGATCCATGGCGACCCCGACCTTGCCTCTTGCGTAGGAGAAAAGTGGGTTAATGGACGAATGAGTGGACAGGGATCATTCTGGTTAGGTGACCTCACGCGCCTCGCCGAGGCAAGGAGGGGGCGTCGCTGGATAATATTCGGGCTCCTTGGCGATGCAAAGTCGCCGTATCTGATCCCTCTGGGGGTCCTCCTGGTCCTCGTTATACTCCCATTTCTCCCCCTTTATGGCCGTCTCATAGATGCTGTGGAGTCGGCTGAAGGGTGAAGACGTTGAAGAGCAGGGTCAGAATGAGGAGGACGAGGATCTGGATGAGGACGCTGAGGAGGAGGAGGAGGAGGAGGAGGAGGAGGAGGAGGAGGAGCGTGATGATGGCGAGGACCGGGAGGAGCACCGGGAGGAGGAGCAGAACGGGAGAGAGAGCGAGAGAGGGATACGTGCAGCGTAGTGCTCCCGATCGCCGCAGCTCCCCCTCCCGAAATGCTGCGCCGCCGGCGGGAAGCTGCTCCAAGCTCCAGGCGGTGGACGGCGCAGCACTGCGACAGCCCCTGGTGCCCGTCGCTCCCCTCCCCTGCTTCCGCTCCGTCACTTCCTCCCTCTGCCGCTCCACTCTCTGCTCCTTCTCCCCTCCTCCTCCTCCTCTTCCTCCTCCTCCTCCACCTCCTCCTCCTCCTCCTCCCTCCTCCTCCTCCACCTCCTCCTCCAACTACTCCCCTCCTCCTCCTCCCCCCCCTCCTCCTCCTCTCTGCTCCTTCCTCCCCGCCTCCTCCTCTCTCCTCCTCCTCCTATATCCTACACTCCCCCTATTATTCCTACGACTACTACTACGACTACAACTACTACTACTACTACAACTACTACTACTACTACTACTACTATTCCTAATTATTCTCACGACTACTACTACTACTACTACTACTACTACTACTACTACTACTACTACTACTAACTACTAACTACTAACTACTAACTACTAACTACTAACTCCTAACTACTAACTACTAACTACTAACTACTAACAACAACTACTACTACTACTACTACTACTACTACTACTACTACTACTACTACTACTACTACTACTACTAGCTACTACTACCAACGCTACTACTACTACGACTACTATTACTACTACTACTACTACTACTACTACTACTACTACTACTGCTGCTACTACTACGACTACTACGACTACTACTACTACTACTACTACTACTACTACTACTACTACTACTACTCCTATCCTTATTCCTTATTAGAATATACTCCTACTCCCCCCTCAGGCCGGCCGATAGGGGCCGCATCCGGGTGGTCCCATCCTAACCTGTAAAAACAATACAAAATCAACATGTTTCTTATTTTTTCCTCTCGACATGGACGTCCTGTCGTCCACGGCGATAATCCATTGCAAAAAATACCACAAAGAGCACACGCGCGCGTTCATGTCAAATCCTACCGAACACCGTGTGTTTGCAAGCATTTCAACATAAAAACATCAAAAACCCAATGTTTTTTTTCACAAAAGTTGTACAAATTTCCCGCCCGGGCTCTCTTGCTGAAATCATAGGAAAACCATCGGAATCTTAAGAATTCGGTCAAATCCAGCGATTTCACGTCATCGCGCGTTGCACTCGCGATGCTCTGTCATGCACCCAGGCCGCGAATCCTGTGCAAAAAATACCACAAAGAGCACACTCGCGCGTTCATGTCAGAATCCTACCGAACACCGTGTGTTTGCAAGCATTTCAACATAAAAACATCAAAAACCCCATGCTTTTTCACAAAAATGCTTTGGGGTGTCCTGTCAGACCGTCGGGCTTCCTCCGGCCACCTCTGGCTTCCTGCGGTGTACAGGGCCATTCTCGACTCGTCTGGCAATGCGTGCGCGGCATTCAACACGCGCTCGCCAGTTCCCGTCGGCAACCGCCATCGCGGCCGCATCAGCTGTACCAAACCGGCTGGCCGGTGTGACTTCGGCCCCAGTTGTGCCAGCTTTGCTTCTTATGTTGTGGGAGGGCGGGCGGGACTGGGCATGCCATGCTTGACTCGCTCGAGCTGGCTAGCTTGACTCCTACTCCTACTCCTACTCCTACTACTCCTACTCCTACTCCTACCACTACTACTACTACTACTACTACTACTACTACTACTACTACTACTACTACTACTACTACTACTACTACTACTACATACTACTACTACCTACTACTACTACTACTACTACTACTACTACTACTACTACTACTACTACTACTACTACTACTACTACTACTAC